ACGGAAAGAGAGGGGAAGGTTGAGATTTTAGCCGGAAAAGGGAGGATAGTGAAAGGGGAAGGAGTGGCCGGAAACGCGTGTTGGGGTTGCCGGACAATTCAAGTTGCCGGAATCCATGGGGACTTGGTTGTGGCTTAGGGGAAGGTGGGTCATGGGTGGTTGCTGAGTTTTTATTTTTTTTTTATAAAAATAAATATCTTTTTGTTTTGCTAAAAAAATTGAAAAAACAAAAAAGTACCTAAAGAATAGGTCAACGATCAGGTTGGCCTAACAGAATAAGATGCCCCTAAAGCTAGTATTAATCCGATATAATTGAAAGGTGGGATTAATAGACTTAGACCAACGAAAGTTTGAGTTATTAGAATAAAATTTTCCTTTAAAAATGATTATCAAGTGATAAGATATGTAATGCTTTGTGGTTGGCTACACTGTTATTAAAATTTCGATTTAAATCTTAAAATCTTACAATTTTAGGATACATGTATGTCACACGATTCGATTTACGATTCTACCCGATTTTACATATTTTAGAAAGGCGTTCTCTATCTGTATAAAAAGAGACGACTACCTAAGATAAGCGTTTCCTTTTCTAATTTTTTTTATTTAAAAAAAAAATATTATCATTTAATATTATTTAATAATGATAATAATTATAGAATAATAAAACTATCCATATTCCGAAAATAAATTCCAATATGATATGAATATATGTATGATACATTGATAATACAAAAGTATATTTGATTTGAGTACATTAACTTTTAATATGGTTGAATTTGACAAAACTAGTTAATTGATAATTGATGATATACATTTAAGCTATACTACACATATGATATCATCATTGTTTAATCAGATACTCAACGAGCTACCTTGTGAAGGTCATCCTTCAAATAACATCCTGTGAAAAAAAATAATTAGCATAAATCAAACAACCCAATTATTTAAGATTCAATCATGAAGAACTACGGAATAAATGTCACCAAAATCATCAAACATGCTAATTTGCACAACATCAAACATGATATACTTATTTACAAGAACATAATCAAATTTCAATTTTATAATGTGCTAATTAACAGAACATAATCGAACTTCAGAAAAAAAAAATGCTTATTTACAAGTACATAATCGAAATGAATAAATAAGCAAAATAGATGCGCAAACAATCAATCGAAATAAACTACTCCGTAATACAGTAAATTGCAACCCAGAAAAACCCAATATAAAAATTACAACCTAGTTCAAACCAAAAAAAAAAAAAAAAAAAAACAGTTAAACATAGAAAACCCAAAAAAATCACTAGCAACCTAATCAATTATGAATGAAATGTGATAATTAGCGCTGAAATGATAAAAATCCATCCTAAATTCACAAATTCAAATAAAAATAATCAACAAAACATACATCTACAAACCGTAAAAGCCAATTCGACAATCATTCCAAATCCAAATGCTGCAATCGAAACTGATGTTCATATGAATTCAAATAGAAGAGAGAGAAATTAACCTATTTGACGGATTTGAAGATTTCAAAGCCAATACCATCGCCGGGGAAGAGTATGGCAGTGATGGGAGTGACGGCGGAGAGGGGAGAAGGCGATGTGCTTACCGATGCGATGCAAAAACTGGCCGGCTATGGTTGTCTTTCACAAAGTAAGAATGTTGAATTTTGCCTTTGTTGTTGCTTCGCCATGGTTAAAGCTCCAAATTCGAGCTTCCTGTGTGGAGGGAAAGATGGGTTTTTTTCGCCATTGGAGGAGGTAGATAAAAGGAAATAGGCCGGGTTAGATCCATGGAAGAACTTAAGGCTGGATCGGAGGAGAGAGAAAGAGGAATTCTTTGAGGAGAGGGAAGAGAAAGGAGGCATGAACGGTTGAGAGTTTGAGGAAAAACAAAGAAATAGAATGGTCATGGAGGAAATAGGGAAAATACTCCGTGTACTGTTCTAATTTGTACAGCTACAATTTAATTAAAAAAAGAAGCAAAAAATCAAACATAACAGTTACCTTAGCGAGGCGTTCTATTTGTTTCATTATACACAACGTTCATCTACCAAAGGCGTTCTATTTAAGTCCATAGAATGCCTATCCAACTTGACTGTTGTGTATTATGCGTTACTTTTTCCACTTTTTGTGGTAGTAAATAAGAAAAAATGTTTTTTATTTTTAAAAAAAGAAAAGGAAAAAAAAACCTCCAAGTCACCACCCATCCCTTTCCGCCACTACAAAGCCCATACCCAACCCATCCCCAGCTCGCTAATTGTCTCCTCATTCCCCTGAAAACGACCGGCAACATACCCCCCTTCCCGACCTTTCTTTCTCTCGCCTCCTTTGTCGTTTGACACGCCGGAAAACCCTCTAATAACCACCCCGAAATTCCAGCTTCGACCCCAAAAATCCCCTACCCATGCCGGAAAACTACCTATCTACACCGAAAACCCAACTCCGACCCCAAATTAGCCACCTTCCTTCTCACGCTCAACCTTAAATAGCCTCGATTGGGTTTAACGTGTGGCTGGAAATTCAGGTATTAAGAAGGTTGGACGCTGAAGTTTTGGGAGTGGGAAGGGACATCAACTGTTTTTGAGGGGTGAGGGAGGTGCGTGGTGGTCGGCTAGTCAATTTTTGGTTGGCTGGGTTGGCTTCAGTGGGCTGGGGTTGGTTTCACTGGGATGGGGGTGGCTTACTGGCTTGGAAATCGTTTTTGTTTTTTGCTTTTGCTTTTTATTTTTCCTTTTTAAATTTTTTTTTTAAATATTACACTAATCAAGTACTAACACGTGACTTTTAATTAAAAAAAAAGAAAAAAATTCCTTCAGCAAGTTACAAGTCATTGAGACTATTGGAGGCAAATACATAACATAGTTGGGATTATTAGATAAACAAATCTTAGTTGAGATTATTAAAAGTAAATCGCCAATAATTAGGATTATTAAAGTATATTTTCCTAAATAATATTACTACATACTTTTCCCAAAAAACTCTCATATTTAAGCGAAAATGCCATTTTTTTTGGGCGAATGAAGTAGTTCAAATTTGATACGATATTTATATTGTATATCATCGTTTATATCGATCATATTATTACTAGTGGTCATATTTTTTTTTAATCATATAACTAATAATATATATACAAATATATTTATTGAGTGGTCATTAATTCATACATTGATTAAGATTATTCTATAGTATATAATATCATCTTACTAATGCTGACCGAAATTATGCATTGGTAAGTCATGTATAGTGTCAAATAATGATAAACAAAAGGAAAAATGCACTTTAAAAATCTTAACTATGGGCGATTTACTTTTAACAATTCCAACTAATGTTTATTATCTAATAATCCTAATTATGCTATGTGTTTTCCTCCAATAGTTCTTATTACCGGTAACTTGTTGAAGGAGTAATTTTTTTTTTTTTTTTGGTTTTATAAAAGCCACATGCCAGCACATGATTAGTCTAAAATAAAAAAATAAATAAAAAAAAAAACACAGAAACCCCATCACTGCAACCCCTTCGTTCTCTCCACAACCGCAACCCCTCACTCACCTAGCAACCCCTTCTCTCCACCACTGAAACCCAGTCGCAACCCATCCACCTTTTCTCCACCACCATAACCAGACACACCCTCTCACTCAACAAAAAACCCAGCCACCTTCTCTCCGCCATCGCAACCCACGCAACCCCTCCCTCACCAAGACGCAACCCCTCACTTGCCTAGACGCAACCCTCCACTCACCCACCAACCGCAACAACAAACCTCCAATTCTGCCACCAACAACAAAAATTTTGTAACCCTAGTCCGCCGCTTGATGCCTCAACAACAACAATAACACAACCGCACAAATCCAATCACCAAATTGCTTTTCCTCCATCGCTAGCGACGCCCACACAGCCACCAATTGCTCCACCAATTCATACAATTTGTCGGAACGAGGGGATGGTTTGGGGGTAGGAATAGGCCGACTAAGGTAGTTTCGGGTGTTAGTAGGGGTCGGCTGGCCGTTTTGGGGGTTAGGAGTGGCGACCGATCGTTTTCCTACGAGCTGGGGGTTTTGCCTTGGTTGTACGGTGAGGGGAGTGGTGGCTGCTAGGTTTTTGGTTTATTTTTTCTTTTTTCCTATTTTTATTTTTTAAAAATTTTAGACCAATCACGTGTTGACTCTTGTTTGATAACCTCTTATAACAACTCATTGACTTGGTGTTGACCGGTTGGAACTATTGAAGGCAAACACATAGCATAGTTGGGATTATTAGATAATAAATCTTAATTGGGATTATTAAAAGTAAATCGCCGATAGTTGGGATTATTAAAGTGTTTTATTCCTAAACAAAATTCCAATATGTATTTCATTATAGAAAAACTGTGGTTTTTTAGCCCATTGAGATGATCGAAGAATTTCGCGGATTTTTTAAGACAAAAATTCCAAACTTTTTTATGTACAAAAAAAAAAATTAACTTTCAATAAATATCTTATTAGTTTGTTAGTGAGTATTATTTAATAAAAAAAATGCGTTTTTAAGGTAATATAAAAAGACATCCATTTAAGATAATTTAAATCAACTAATAAAAAAGTTCATAATCTTATATAATTGTTTTTGAAACCAAGATAAGAGTTCATATGATTGTTATATCGTACTTCATAAGGTTTTTTTTTAAAGACAATGCAGATGAAAATTATTAGATTAAAGATCTGCCAAAGTATGAAGAATTGAAGACTTATAACTTGATCAATTCAGTGTTAAAGATAATGTTAAAACATAGTTTTTCATTCAATACGCGAGTGTTCCACCTTGTTTACATGAATAAAGAAAACATAGTTTTTCAATCAATATGCGAGTGTGGATTATGTGTTCCACATTGTTTACAAGGAGGAGTTAATCACTTCATAACGCTACAAGCTTACAAGAAAAACCCTTTTCATTATTAAAATCTGCTTATACAATGGATCTTGCTTAGTGTAATAAATTGAATTGGATTATTAATTTCATTATTTCATGGCAAGGGAGCAGTTGTTTTCATCTCCATTTCTTGTATATCAATAGCAAAGCCCTTTCCAGATTGCTTCCAGTGATCTGCGTATGAATTCAAGTTTTCTGGTGGCGCGATATTAGCCCTTGATGAGATCAAATTGTCACTTGATATCTGGTATTTCTCATCCCTCTTCTTCACCATTTCAGCGCAAATTGTGCTCTCTGGTTGAGGAGACATCATAAGCGCCGGTGCACCTAAGGGAAGCTTATCTCCTTCATATAATAAGTAAAACAAAAACCATTAATTTATATATAATATACTATTGGAGTTTATGATTTGGTGAAACAAATTTGTTACTTCCTTTACTCAAATTAAGTTTGTTAAACATGTAATTAGTTGGAGAGTATAAATAGGTTGTATGTTGTATTAGTTCATTTTTAATCCAGCATAATAAAAATACACATTTTACTCCTCCTTCCTCGTCTCTCTCTACTGAACAAACTCAAGCTATATTTTAATGGCTTCCTTCTCTCTCTTCTCTTTTCTTCCTCCTTAAACTCTCAAACTTAACATATACTACCTCTACATAATAAATTTAAATTTTTCCCTTATATAGTAATTGCAAAATATGGTCAAAGTTTTATAAGTTTGACTAAAGGTGTCAATTCTGATAATCGGATGGAGTTTGAATCGAGTCTATTCGGGTCGGGTCTGTTCGGATCGGATATATTCGTGACAAAATTATTCTTTTAATTCGGATCGGGTCGGATCAAATTCGAGTCATGGTCTACCGAGTCTAGGTCGGATATGGATCGGGTTAACTCTTAATCGATTCATGTTCGGTTCGGAAGAATTCGGATCAGGTTTAAAATAGGTTAATTTAGGGTCAAATGAATTTGGGTTGGGTTGATTTCAGTTTGGATGATTTTGTTTAGTCAAGTTCGGTTTGATTAAGATAGGGTTGATCTATTGATTCATTAATTGGTTAATTTCAATTCAATTCCTTTTTGAGTTTGGCTGGATTTGAATCGAGTTGACCCAATTCAAATCCAAATAAAGTTATTTTTAAACTTGAGTTATTATTGAGTTTTTACCTTATTATTTGCTCAATATCAAGTCATTCATGTATTATATTTTTTTTCGAGTTGAAAGAAGAGGTTTTAGTGTTCAAGAATTACAAATTATTTGTAGCAAATTCTGGATGAGACGAATATAAAGCTTAGAAAGTAATTTTATATAATTGGTATATACATGAAGTAAACTTGTAACTCTGGATTATTTCTTTGTAGTAAAAAACGTTAACTTATTAATGATTAGTAAATATAGTAGTATAAGACCTTGAATAAAAAGGTCAATAATTAATTATGGTCGGGTTAAATTCGGATCGGGTAAAAATTAAATCGAGTTAAAATAATCGGGTCGGGTTAATATTAGTTTGAGTCAAAATAGATCGGATTAGATCGTTTATTTTCCGGGTCATTTTTAAATCGGGTTGAGCTCAAATCGAATCAAATCAGTTTGGTTTGAGTTCAGGTTGGGCCAAATCGGATTCGAGTTAAGTTCAGGTCGGATCAAATCGGTGCCGGGTTAATTTCAGATCGGGTCAAGTTCGGGTTGAGTTAATTTCGTTTACAGATCGGGTTCGGGTCTTGAATTTCTCATATCAAATCGGACCGGTTACAGTTCAAAACAGTTGGTTTTCTTCGGATTGGTTCAGTTTTAACACCTCTAAGTTCGACTATATACATAGTAAATTGAAAGATACAAAATTAATGAAGGGAATACTAGTTTTAAATTGCACTACTGACCCATCAATGTACTTCATAACAATTATTTTAAAATGAAATGAAATAATTTGTATTCCATATATTGTTTGATGAACTTGATAATGAAATAAGCTGAAATGAAGGTTTTGGTCTAGTTACTTACCTCGGTCAACCTGCCAAGTGCACCAAAACTTTCCGTACATCTTGGCAAAGGTTTGGAGCTCTGAATTTTCAATTATTCCTGGCACTCTAGGGTTATTCCAAAGGCCTGCTTTAATCTTAAACATACCATCCAGTAAATAATCAATTGTACAATCTCCCAAAACAGATAAGTTTAATTTCTATATAATTTAACATGCTAACTTTGATATATATCACTGTACGCAATTAGTTAAAACATTAAGTAATAATATGGTACCTATCTTTCTTAATAATTTTTTATTTAAGTAATCAGTGACTCTTTATGTTAGAAAATGCAAGTTAAAGTAAAAGTTTTTTTTAATTGATTGGACGGAGAGGTCAATACAAGTTTTAAATAAGGCAGGCATACGGTAAATATTGTACAAATAAAGGAGTCCTTTCTCAAAATAATGTTGGGAAAAACTCCAATCTCCAATATACGGTCACCGGTTCAGAGAAATTATTTTTTTTACGGTTTTTTTAATAAACCACTACTTCAAGTAGCGGTGTCTAAGGTAAAAACCGCTACTTCAAGTAAGTAGCGGTTTTTATCTTAGACACCGCTACTTGAAGTAGCGGTTTCGATTAAAGTAATTTTTTTTTACAAAATCACTTTTAATCCTTCAGGAAGCAATTCACGAAAAAAAAAAGCTTCGATAGTTGCGACTTGCGAGGGAAACCGCTACTTCAAGTAGCGGTGTTCTAAGTAAAACCGCTACTTGAAGTAGCGATTTATGAAATTAAAACCTCTACTTCAAGTAGCAGTTTATTCTTATAACACTGCTACTTCAAGTAGCGGTTTGTTGGTGGACCGAGAAAAAAAAAACGGTTTGATTTCCTTAGCTGACGTGGACGGTACGGTGGGAATTAAAAAAAGACTAGCTGTAATTTGGGAATTAGATAATTTCCCAACATTATTTAAGAAAAGGGCTCCAAATAAAGTTACCCACAATTTTCAAAAGTTATGCTAATATAAAAATAAAAGTTACATACATGTTTCATAGAGAAATTTTTCCCTTTACAAGAAATTTACCTTGTAAAATTTTCTTCTAATACATGAAAGAAACCATATTACTTTCATTTATGATTATGTACATACGTGAGATAAAAGTAATGATCAACAAATATTAAGTCACAAACCTTGTATGTATGGGAATTCCACAACTAAACATGGGCAATGGGTCGTGCCGTGTCGTCGCGGGCCGTGCCGCGGTGGGGTCGTGCCGTGCCGTGCCTGAAGTTGGCACACCCCAGCCCACGGCACGGCCCGGCCCACGTGCCTTGCGGGCCGTGTCGTGCCGGGCCGTGGGCCAAACCGTGCCATTTTAATTTGTTTTTTTTAAAATAAAATAAATGTATATATATTTTCTGTACAACTTAATATTATATAAATAATGTGATTAATTTATGTTTATGTTAATGTTCATATGTTTTGTTTTTGATTTTTTGAACAACTTTATTTTAATTTGGGTTATATAAATCATTTATCTAATTATGTTTAAGTTTATATAAACAAATAAAAACAATTTTATTAATTTAGCAATTAACAACAATGCATATAATAAAAAACAATAAGAGTGCGATAATCTGAAAACACAAAAAATTGAAGTATAACTTATTTTATTATATGCCTGTAGCCGATACGATAAATCAATAATACAAAAAAAATTAATGATAATTAAAAATCGTACGTGTCTTGCGGGCCTCGTGCCATGCCCGGCGGTGCCGGCCCATGTGCTAGCCGTCGTGCCTCGTGCCGTGCCCGTGCCGGATCCCAGAATTTTGTTCACGGCACGGCCCACAAGTGGGCCGCCGTGCCGTGCCGGAGACCGGGCCGTGCCGGAATAGTGTCGGGCCCGTGCCGCCCACGTGCCGGCACTGCCCGTGCCCACCTTTAGCCACAACTTTTGTTCATCGGGTGGGAGACCTTCAAATATTTTCTCAGAGATTATGTACACAATTCCTATTGATGAATCTCCTTGGGGAGTCATTCTCATTCAACCAAATATATAGGTGTATTACAAACCTAATAAGAGAAGTATAATCAATGCTAATTACACACAAAGAATATCAACATAATATGAATATGAAGAGATTAGTAACATAATCTCTATCACACCCCCATAGTCTAAGCGGGAGGAGGTCGAACGCTGAGACTAGACTAAAAGTCTTGAAATAATTGTCGCGGCAAACCCTTGGTGAAGATATCAGCGTACTGATAAGGAGAAGGGACATGGAGCACCTTAACATGGCCGAGAGCGACCTTATCACGAACAAAGTGAATGTCCATCTCTATGTGCTTGGTACGTTGGTGTTGTACCGGATTGCAAGACAAGTAGACCGCAGAGATGTTACACAATACACCAAGGATGCCTTACGCAAAGGACAATGTAGCTCAAGAAGGAGGTTCCGGAGCCAACAGACTTCAGCAACAACATTCGCGACACCTCTATATTCTGCTTCGGCACTAGAACGAGACAAAGTGGGCAGACGTTTCGCAGACCAAGAGACCAAATTGTCACCCAAATAAACACAATATCCAGAAGTAGAGCGGCGAGTATCGGGGCAACCCCCCCAATCGGCATCCGTGTATGACACAAGTCTCGTGGGGGCAGACCGATACAAGTGTATGCCATGATCTAGAGTGCCTCGGAGATATCGGATAATACGCTTCAAAGCGTTAAAATGTGGTTCCCTCAGGTCATGCATGAACAAGCAAATCTTTTGAACCGCATAAGCAATGTCCGGCCGTGTGAAAGTGAGGTACTGTAGGGCACCGGCAAGACTCCGATAAAGAGAAGGGTCTTGAACAGGTGGGCCATCAAGAGCATCGAGCTTAGATTTGGTGTCGACCGGAGTGGCTACGGCTTTGCAATTTGCCATATTAGCTCGTTGAAGAATCTCCCAGGCATACTTACTCTGACTCAAAAACATGCTATCCTTGGTACGATGCACCGAAATACCCAAAAAGAAACTCAGGTTACCCAAATCTGTCATAGAAAATTCGGATTGAAGGAGAGCAATGATGTCGGATTTTAGTTTCTCAGAAGAGGCGGTGAGGACAATGTCATCAACATATAAGAGTAAGTAAGCAATATTCCGGCCATGTCAGAAAATGAAAAGTGAGTTATCACTTTTGCTACATACAAAACCAATCTGAAGGAGATAATTAGCAAATCGTTGGTACCATGCCTGAGGAGCTTGTTTAAGACCATACAAAGATTTTCGGAGCCGGCACACATAATGAGGAAACTGAGGGTCCACAAAACCCGGAGGCTGATGCATAAAGACGGTTTCTTTAAGATCCCCATGAAGAAATGCATTTTTAACATCAAGTTGATGAATAGGCCAATCCCTCCCCATAGCAATGCTCAAAACCATACGGACAGTAGCCGGTTTCACCACCAGACTAAATGTCTCATCACAATCAACCCCAATCTGTTGAGACTTTCCATTCACAACAAGTCTTGCCTTGTGTCTCTCTAAGTCACCATTTTCCCTGTATTTGTGCTTAAAAAGCCACATGCATCGAATAATGTTCACCCTTTCCGGTCTTGGAACAAGTTCCCAAGTATGTTGTTTCATAAGAGCATTATATTCCTCATTCATGGCGGCATTCCAATTTGGATCAAGTTTGGCTAATTTGGGATTTTTAGGAAGATCAGAAATTGCTTGAGCCGAGCAATTGTACTTCGGATTTGGTTTTAAAATCCCACTTTGAGCACGAGTAGTCATAGAATGTGAAGGAACTGGAATTATATGTCGAGATTGAGGAGTAGTGACAGCATTAGGTGGAATTGATCCAAATTGGATCAAGGGAGAACAAGGGGAAGATGGCGAAATGGGCAGGGGAGTCCGCAGGTGGGAAGTGGCTTGATGGGCTGATCCGCGGCCCTTCTGCGGAGTGGGCTGGAGAGGAGTTTGTGAGGGAGAGTTAGGAGGGGAAGGAGGCGGGTTTGTGTTTAGGGGAGGTGGGCCGTGTCTAGTGGGCTGAGGAGCTGGGCTGCCGTGAGCCTGGATGAGAATAGGGGCCATGATGGGAGAAATAAGGGAGTCCAAAAACTCATAATATGAGTCACGAAATTTGGAGAGGTCAGAGAAGGGGAAATTGTCCTCTACAAAAGTGACATGTCGGGAAATTGTGATTTTATTCGTTGATAAATCATAGCATAGGTTACCCCGATGGTTGGAAGGGAACCCCAAAAAAACACATGGTTTAGAGTGTATGGCTAGTTTATGAGGAGCGGTGGCACTCAAATTTGGGTAGCAAAGGCATCCAAAAGTACGAAGATGATCGTAAGTGGGTAACCTACGGTATAAAACTTCGGTTGATGTTTTGTTTTGGATGGTCTTGGAGGGTAGAATGTTGAGAATATAAGCTACCATATGAATTGCATACACCCAAAAAGAAGGTGGGAGAGAGGCATGAAAAATAATTGTGCGAGACATATTGTTGATAGTACGGATTATTCTTTCGGCTTTGCCATTTTGGGAAGAAGTGTTTGGGCAAGAGAAACGAAAGACTATGCCATTTTTCGCACAAAAAGTAAGAAAAGGAGAATTGTCGAATTCCCGGCCATTGTCACTTTGATGTCCCTTTCAAATTGTGTTTTTACAAAAGCACGAAAATTCAATAAAATGTCATAGACTTCGGATTTGAATTTGAGAGGAAAAATCCAAATAAAATGAGAGAAATCATCAAGCAACACCAAATAATATTTATGACCCAATTTGCTAAAAATAGGAGAAGTCCACAAGTCCGCATGAATTATATCAAAAGGGGAAAACGTTACAGTAGTAGACGACTTAAAAGGAAGTCGTACATGTTTTCCTAAAGGACAAGAGTAGCAAAAAGGAGTACTAGTACGCTTATTACAATTGATAAGATTGTTTTTCCTAAGAAAATCAAAAACTGGTGCGCCGGGATGTCCAAGTCTATGATGCCAAGTAGAAGGAGAAATTGCAGCTAGAGAAAGTGGAGTGTTTGAAGCGGAAGTTGTGGATAAAGGATAGAGGTCCCCCACACTATTGCATCTCGCTAGAATTGTCCCCGAAAGAAGGTCCTTCATAGAAAAACCGAGAGGGTCAAATTCAACAGAAACAGAATTATCACAAGTGAATTTTCTAACAGAAATTAGGTTTTTAATAATGCTAGGAAGATATAGGACATTCTTGAGATGGAAAGAAGAGTTAGGTGGGGGGTATAGGTGGATCTGTAGCCATAAATTGGAATGCGTTTGCCATCACCGACCAAAATGTATTGAGGAATGCTCAAATTAAACAGTTTAGAAAAGTTACCCGAATCACGAGTCATATGAGAAGTCGCCCCCGTGTCCATGTACCAACCGTTGTCGGGAGTTTGGAAGCTCATGGAACTATAAGCTTGACCGAATTCCGTAGGGGTCATTAGGGGACCGTAACCAGATTGGGCCGGGGTAGCATAATAAGCTTGGTGTTGGGCCCAACAACGATGGTTGTTGCTGCTGGGCCCTAAGTTGCTGAAACGGGCCCGTGGGATATGGGCATGGTGGGGATGCCCAATTTTGGGGTTGATGTTGCTGCCAAGAGGATTGGGCCCCCCATTGTGGGCCTTGTTGCTATTGGGCTGAGAATTGCGGACCATTATTGGACTAATGATGTTGTGGGGAGTTAGAATTTCGCCCCCTCCCACGACCTTTTCCATTTCTGTTTTGCCCACGGCCAGCACCACTACGGTGGCCGTCGGACTGATGTTGGGGCTGTTGTGTGGACGCCGCAGAATTGACGGTGGCCAGAGACTGCTGCTGTGCAACAAGAGCTTGCTGCCCGTGTTCATCTTGCTTGGATTTTCGGGTTTCCTCGAGCAAAAACATAGAGCGGGCCTTGCTGAAACTCGGGGTTGGGTCGGTTTGGGAGATCAATGCAGCACCCGTGTCATATTCCCCTTTAGTAAGACCAGAAATCAACTGAAGAACCATCTTCCTTTCGGAGACCGGGTTATCAACATTGCTTAGTTGATCAGCCAGAAGTTTGATTTCCTTGCAATATTCTGCCATATTAGCAAAATTCTCAAGTCGAGTGGTGTTGAATTTCTCCTCCAAATACACAGCCCTAGTGTGCTTGTTGTCATGGAAAACGTCTTTAAGCCGAGTCCATAATTTAAGTGCGGTTGCGCCTTGTTTCATGATAGTGTGAACAAGGTCTTTGGAGATAGTACTGTAAATCCAACCTTTGACAATAGCATCTAACCGAGTCCATGTCGCATCATCAATATCTGTGGGTCGAGAAATAGAGGCATCAATGTGGTCAAGAACATTGTACGCACAAGCTTGAATATGGAAGAGCTCAACCCATGTGGCATATTGCCCTTCTTCTTGATCAAGGGTGATGCTAATCAGATTTTTGATGTTGTTTACGGCATAGGCGGGTTGAAAGGTTTTAGAGGGAGGGGGAGGAGTTTCATCATCGCCGGCCATGGAGGATGGAAGGAGAGATGGCGGCTGCTAGAAAGCTACGGTAGGCCAAGGGTCGAGAAGGATGAAGATAGAAGATAGGGAGACACCCTTAGGCAACTGATACCATGTCAGATTGTGTGAATCTCCTTGGGGAGTCATTCTCATTCAACCAAATATATAGGTGTATTACAAACCTAATAAGAGAAGTATAATAAATGCTAATTACACACAAAGAATATCAACAGAATATGAATATGAAGAGATTAGTAACATAATCTCTATCAGAGCATGTCAGATTGTGTAAATCTCCTTGGGGAGTCATTCTCATTCAACCAAATATATAGGTGTATTACAAACCTAATAAGAGAAGTATAATCAATGCTAATTACACACAAAGAATATCAACAGAATATGAACATGAAGAGATTAGTAGCATAATCTCTATCAAATATAACGTCAAAAATTAGTTATTTTTTATTCAACTATTAACAACACGTGCATCACGAGTCAAAAAAACAAATGAAAATGTTGTCAAATATCAGCTCCTATTTCCCATAATTATTTACTACTCCCTCCATCCCAAAATGAACGACCCATTTGGGTTGATTACGCGGGTATTAAGGAAGTTAAGTAAAAAGAAGTAAAAGTATATTGGAAAGATAAATTTACATGGGGTTTGTAAAAAAATAGAGAGAGGAAGTAATAAAATAATATGAAAAATCAAATTTTTATATGGGGAAGCTAATTTTGCACAAATATTGTAGCAAATTGGTGGGTGTTTAAATGCAAATGGGTCATTCTTTTTGGGACAAAGTTTTGGCCAAATGAGTCGTTCTTTTTGGGACGGAGGGAGTAACTAAGGTGATTACTATACAACACGCAATACACGCACTTTAATTTGTCATGTTCGGGGAGGTCTTTCAATTTAGTCTAAAGTCACAAATTTAGTTGTTTACAATTTTAATAAGTTAAAATATATGAATAAATATACTTAGGGTATAAATGACTGCACACTATTCCTAAGAATACAAAAGAAATGACAATTAACATGCATGCCTTGAAATAGAAAATTTATGATAATGAAGGGTAAGAGAGGAAACCAATGAGACGAGCTGAAGGAAGATCAGAGTCATAAACAGCACACTGGCAAAAATCTTGGTTAAGTCTCGAAACAAAATGATGAGTCTCAATCTGTCGAGACATATCATGGCTATACATCCCAAAAGTGTTGAAATACTGGCTCATGTTGTTGATAGGCTTCATCGACGTCGTCATCAGCTGCGCACCTCTGTCTATTACTTGTTGCCCCACCGTCAACGCCTTCCCTGGCGTCGTCCCATCATCCCGCCCTGGCATTGGTCCCGGCTTTTCGTCACTCGATGCCATTATTCACCTCCCTAGCAAAGACTATTTTTCACTCCCTACAATAATATGGGCTAATAGTAATGTGTTTTTTGTAACGTAGTTTGAGCGAAGAGGAGAATGTTCGTGAAAAGAGATGTAATTTGTATATAAGATGGACAAGTGGAAATTAGTGCTAGTTTTGAGGATAATAGTACGTGGCGTGATTGTTGATTAATCGACAAGAAACTTGGGAGATGTAACCGTTTTTCGGATCTCTAGCTAGCTTGCTACTTTGATGACCATTTAATTTTATGAAAAACATTTTAAATTACGGATATTTCACCAAATGCCCCTAAGTTATTTTTTTTATTCATTATATACCCATGAAAATAACTAACGGAAGTAATTATCGTTAGTCATCCAATACATTTGGTGATAATTTAGTGGAACTTAGGTGTAAATGGTGAATTTGAAATTTTTTATGGGTATATGGTGAACAAAAAAAATAACTCAGAGACATTTGGTGAGAAATCCGTTTTATTTAACGGAAGTAACTTAGAAACATATGTTAGTATGAACGATTGTACCAATAACTTAGAAACTGGTCATAGAGAAACATATGTTAGCACGAACAATTGTACGAAATAACTTAGTAAGGTAAGTTGTCGAGTCGAGTCAAGTCAAGTACTATGCTTATTACGCAAATGAAAAACATAGTCCAAATCTTTAGTCCTAAGTTTATTTAGCAAAGATGACCTTACGTGTCCAAATCTTTTGTGCCACGACAATGGATCATCCTTAATGATACTGAGACATGTTAAGCTACTGTTAGGAACTCCATTGAGATAAACTATATAAGTATTCCCTTCGCGAGTTTTGTCCAATATTATGTTCCAAGTGTCATTGCTAATGATTTGGCACGTATTGGACGTGAAGCTTACAAAGTTACATTTGTCACAAAATTGTAAATTACTTAACAAGTTGTGCTACAGATCCTTGACCAAAAATATATTATCTATCACATGGGAACTTGACCTTCCTACTTTGCCCACAACTACAATTTCTCCTTCTGTTGTTAGGAAAAACTTGTTTTAATAAGTTAAACTTTCGCTAATTCGCTTTTAATAATTCCAACTTTGGATTACTATTGAATAATCCTAATTTTAGGGGGTATTTTCTTTTATTGATCCCCACTGGTTATTAACCTGATATAACAAGTAACATAGGACACATGGCATTACATAATTAGTTGAAAAATTAAAAAATTTTAAAAAAAGAAAAACCTGTGGCAGCTCTCTTTCCCTAGTTTCACCACATCTGATAACCCCCTCCCAAAGCCCCACCCCCTAGAATCCACTCCTACTTCATCCCACCCCTCAAAATCAAGATCCTCCCCACCCCATCCCCGAAATTGCCTTCCTCCTCAACACACCTCTAGAACCGCCCTCACTAGCCACCACAACCCTTGAAATAACCCCTACCCCAACCCAGAAAACTCAACCACCCCTAAAACAACCCCCAACTCCTAAATACCTTCCTCTAGCCTCGAAATACAATTCCCTAGCTCCAAAACCTTACCCCTCCTCATCCCATGCCTTTACACTGACAGTTCGTTAGGGCACCACCTCCCATGGGGTTTTTGATGTTGGGGAAGGAGAGATGATAGGATTTCAAGCAGGGGAATAAAGAAAAGATCGGCAATTTTCAGGGTGGGGGAAGGTGACAGAGTGGGGATGAAGCATTCTGGTGGTGGAGAATAGGAGAGGGCTAATTTTTGGGTGGGATGGCTCCCGGATGTGGGTGGTTGGTCTTTTTTCTTGGAAAAATTAGAAATAATAATCCCAACTTTCATCAATTTTGGTAGAATAATCTCAACTTTAGATTATATTGGAATAATCCGAACTTTGGGGGGTCTTCTTTTTCTTCAACCTCTAACCGGTCAACAAAAGTCAATGACCTATTATATCAGGTCACTTGACACGTGTCAAACCCTGATTGGTTCAAAAATTTTAAAAATAAATAAAATACCAGAAAAAACCAGCAACCTCCCCTCCCCAACCGTCCCACCCTAACCTCTGCCACCAGTCCACCACTCCCTCGCCGACTGCAGATCTTCACACGCCGGAGCACCACTCTTCCCATGCCGGACTGCCGCTATCCCCCTTCCCCGAAACCCCCTCTAACCCCCTCGTGAAGCCACCACAAAAAAACCCCTAAAAACTTCTCCTTCACCACGAAACACCAACGGCTAGGGTTTTTGATGGTGGGGGAAGGGTGTTTGGGGGTTTTCGGGAGTTGGGGTGAGTTTTAAAGAGAGTTTCGAGTTGTGATGGTGGCTAGAAAAGGAATTTTGAGTGGTGGTGGTGGCTGGAAAACGAGTAATTTCGAGTGGTGGTTGCCGGCGGTAAAAGAGGGGGGAAGGTTGTTCGCATCATCAGCGTTGGGGGAGGGGGGAAATCGGCGTCAGGGGAGAGGAGGAATTGGCACAGGGGAAGGGAGAGTAGCGTAGCCGGCGGCGACAAGATTCGGGTGGTCGGATTCTGGGTTGGCTGAAGTTTTTGGTTTTTAAAATTTTGTTTGTTTTTTATTTTTTTTTTCTTTTTATATTTTTTGAACCAATTATCTCGTGACACATGTCACTTTTTTTTTTTAAAAAAAAGTAACCCATTCAACCGGTAACCGGTATTTGGGATTAAAGAAAAAGAACGCCCCTAAAAGTTGGGATTATTCCAGTATAAACGAAAGTTGGGATTATTCCACGCAAATTAGTGAAAGTTGGGATTAATTTTTCTAATTTTTCCTTTTTTCTTTCAATTTTGTTTTTTTTTTTTTAAAGTATTTGACCATTCAGAATCTAACACGTGTCTATTAAACCCCTCCAAAAAAAGTATTATCCATTTATAACAAGTTACTGGCCACTTAGGACCAATGAAAGTAAATACCCCCCTAAAGTTTGGATTATTTAATAATATTCCAAAGTTGAGTTATTAAAAGTGAATGAGAAAAAGTTGGGATTAATAAAACCAATTTTTCCTTTTTGTTATCACCAAAGATCATAGTTCCCCCATAATAGGCATATAGTGAGAGAAATCTGTTTTATCTTTGGTCATATGCTTGGAACAACCACTATCAAAGTACCTAGTGTTATTCCCCTTCACTAGAACCTAGATGATCAAAATCAAGCGTTAATATTAGGAACCTCAGCTTCCTTGGGTTCCTAAGTTACAGACGTGGAATCAGATTTCTTAATCCACGCCTGGCTGTTTAGCATGGTTTTCATTCTTAAGAGGGTTTTTTTCTTTTTTAGAATAGTTAGTTTGCTTATGTCTAAGCTAGTTTTGCCACAAAAATAGAAAACTCTGATCATGTTACTTAGTAGTAGATTAACATAATTCTTTTTCTTTTGGAACTTCTTGCATTGTTGTATCCTAGTCCTTGTGTTCTTTTGGTTTGAGCGTTGCTATCCAATCAGGAGTGCTATGATTAAAAACTTGTTTAAATTTTTTAAACTCTATTAAGTTCCCCCTCAAGTCTTGACTTCACTAATTTTAATTCTTCCTAATCTAATTTTAATTTTTCAAATTTTGGATATTGATTCAGCAGAGGAACTTCAGAGTTAAGAAATGCACTATTTAGCTTCAATAAAGCCAGTTCCACACTCAATAAAATATTATCAAGTTATAATCTTTCAATAGTTTTTTTTTTTTTTATTTTTTTTTTAAAACTAATCAAAGAATCTATTTTTTCAGCTTTTATGGTATCTTCCCATTCAATATGTTTCCTGTGTATTTTAAGAGCTTTATCACTTTGAGATTTTGCAACATGAAATCCATTAAGTCACCTTGAATCTCTATCTCAGACTCACAGTATCCATCGAGTTTTCTTTAGTAGAATGTTCCATGTTTTTATAATCAAACCATACCGCACTACTAGAAAACAGGTTAATTGCGACGGAAATTTTTCGTCGGAAACACCCTATTTTCCGTAGGAAAACTTGTTTCTAATGGAAATTCCGTCGTAATCGGTTGTCGGAAAAACACCCTTTTCCGATGTAATTTCCCTCCGAAATGGGTTTTCGGAAGTGATTTTCAAGCCCGTCAAAGTCCGTCAGAAAATTCTGACGAACTTGAATTCCGTCGTAAATGCCCTACGGAATTTCCGTCGGCAAATGCTTTAAAAAAACAAAAAAAAACGCACATCGCCACCCCGTACCACCGCAAGTCGTCACCCCACACCACCTACCCCCACTCACACAACCAGCCAAACCCTCACCAAGTCACCAAACCCACACTTAACCCCACCAACCGTATCACCAGCCCACACTAGCCCACACTAGCCCGTTGCACCACCTACACCAGACTCCTACCCACCAGCCAGCTACACCTGATCCACCACCCCATTACCCACCTACAACCACCACCGCCACAACCACCTAACTAGATTTACGACCCCACCACCCACCTAAAATCACCACTGCCACCATCGAAAATCATCACAACCCAGAATTTAACAAAAAAATAAAGAAAAAAAATTAAAATCCGAACGCAACCCCCCAAACACGATCTCTGTCCAATATCCACCACCCACCACCACCATAAATTGTAAAAAATATCCAATAAAACAACAAAATAAAATCAAAATCGAAAAAAAAACTAAAATAAATACCTTAATTAGACCACACATAACCTCAAAATTTGGTTAAAGAGGTCAAAATCAACCATGAAAACTCTAGATCTAGAGTTTTCATGGTCAAATTTGACCTAAAAACCTTTAATTTCAGCATGAGAAGAGAGAGAAAGGGCGAAAAAAGATGAAAGTTGTTGTTGTTGTTGATGTTGATGCCGGTGAGGGTGTTTTTGATGACGGTGTTGCTGTTGATGTCGGTGGCGATGGTGGGCAATTTGAGGTGGTCGAAAAAGGGGAATGTAAAGGACAGATAGAGAAGAAGAACGAGAGAGAGAGAGAAGGAGCAGGAGAACAAGATAGAAAGAAGAGGAGAGGAGAGGAAAGAAGAAGGAGAACAAGAGAGATAGAATGAGCAGGAGAATGAGAGAGAAGATGAAGGAGAACACGAGAGAAGGAGAGGAGAGAGAAGATGAAAGACAAAGAGAAGGACAAAAGGGAGAAGAGGCAGAAATAAAGTATGTGTGTTAGCCTGTTAGGGTTTCTAGAAGTTTATGTTTTTTAAAAAATAATTTTCTGACGAAAAATTCCGTCGGAAAGCACATTTATTCCGACGGATTTGTAGAATTCGTCGAAAATTTCCGTCGGAAATTTTGATTTTTCCGACGGAATAATGTGTCCGTCGGAACCAGTCCGTCGTAATTTGGCTGTTTTCTAGTAGTGCCTCTAGTTTCTTCAGTTTGGCCTTTTCATCAATATTGCCTAACAAACACAAGTTGGTTGTTTCTTCTAAAGGTTTCTCTTCCTCATCTTCGGTCTTTGAGTCTCCCTAGGCATCTATCATTGCTTTCTTCACATTTGACTTTTACAAAGATGGTTTGTAGATCTTGTTCTCTCTTCCTTGATACTTTCCTTTAAAAAATCTTGATCTATCATTTTCTTTAAGAGGACATCCTCTAATAAAGTTGTTTTTTAATTTGATCCAAATTTGAAGTAGATTGTCTCTTTAGAACATGACATTTTTGAACATCCTGTTTCCAAACATTTTCTTGAATCTCCTCACCGGCGTACCCATCTTATCTTCATCTACTGCAAATTCATCCAAATCTTTGGCTTTTAGCACTAAGCATTATATTTGGAACTTTCAGCATTAGTTCCTAAATGAAACTCATAAGTCATTAGAGATTTAGCTAGTTGTTTCATGTTGAACTCGGTGAAGTCATTAGTTTCGTGAAGTGCAGTCACCTTGAATCTCTAGCGTTCATATTGAGTCTCATCACTTTTCAAGGATGTTCATCTATAGGAATATGTCTACCAAGAGAACCTAACTCATTGATTACTCCCTCCGTGTTTTTTTTAAGTGTTACACTTTCCATTTTCGGCCGTGTTTTTTTAAGTGTTACACTTCCTTTTTTGGCAAAATGCTACATTAAAATATTATATCTATCTCCTCTCATGGTCCCCACCCAAACCCACTACTACTTTTTTTATTATATCTTTCCTCTCACATTCATTACTTTTCGATAAACTATTAACCCCACTATATTTCTTTTATAATTTTTTAATACTCCAACTCCCCCACTTACATCTTATTTTATTTAAGTCGATTAAATTGCCTAAAACTATGTGCCGGTCAAACTGTAACACTTACAAAAATACGGAGTGAGTATATCATTATATGTCGTGAACATTTCTTCAATGGTTTCCTTTGGAAGCATTTAAATTCAAATCTTCACATTTAGACATAAGGAAATCAGTTTTTTAACATTCATTTGTACCTTCATTAGTAACTTCGAGTAACACTTAGCTTAACACTAGAAGTTTACACGGCCTCACACTCAAAACTCACTCACTGTGTAATCAATATAATCACTCATCCAAATCCCAAAACAACACAAACAGTTTAACTCTAATATGTGATTGGAATACTACACATAAAATCCGAAACTAATATATTAAAGCTCTAAACTTTGGCAAACTTACTCTTAAGTGCTCTTGAGGTTTTCACGCAAAAAACTCAAATTTTACTAATAATATGAACTCTTCTATTTATAAGAATTGTTCATGCACGAAGTAAGGTCTTTTTTATGAAAAGATAATCATTAAAACTGTTGTAGCAATAACCCCAGAAAATAAGAATTATTTTGTGAAATCCTATATCAAAATCGAATAAAGATTAAGTTTAGAAAAAGATAAAATATTTTGTAAAACATATTTTATAAGATAGAACATTAGAAGATTTTTTTCATAAACATTAAGCTATCTTTTATAAAACTTATGATTTTATTTGCTTGTCAAGCTTTACCACATTTTAAATAAGTTTCATGCATATTAATCTATCACATATATACAACAATCCTATTAAAAATAAACTTAACATAGAACTCTATGAAAGTTTTCAAGTTTATCATTAGATTGTATCATCGAGCTCTGTGGTGCTTATAGGAACTTGGGTTCTTCGCAGACCTGGATTTTTGGAATCCTCTAGTCTTCTCTTCTTCTGCATCTTGCTAGAACGCGTAGTCCAAGTTTCCTTAAACCTTGTTTTCTTCAATGCAGTTTAAGCTTAACTACTTAGTTTATTGTCTAGCTCCTGTTAGGAGGCTTCTCTCTGTATTCCTGTTAGGGATCACTGGTCTAGTTTCAATGTGGAACCTTCTTCTATTCTTTCATTCTATCTTTCTCTTATTTATCTATGTACGCTTCATATCGAGATTACTCTTCCAATCCCTGAGTCTACTTCACTTGCACTAATTCAACACTTAAAGAAAACTCATTTGTTGAAGTTTGTTTTTCCTATAATCATCAAAATACTTTTATGGTCCACAAAGATTGTATTGGAGAATAGAGGAAGAGAACATGTGTAAGGAGGGTGATCCCATCGTAGGGGGTCCTTCCTTAGATGCCCATAGCTATTTAAAAGCCTAGGACTTTACACTTGTTAGGGTGTACTCCCTCCGTTTTTAAATACTTGCTCCTTTTCTCCATGCGCGGAGTTTTAGGAGAAATTGGAGAAAGTAATAAAATATGGAGGTAGTGGGATGGGTGGAAGAATAAAAAATTATATAAAGTAAAAGTAGTGGAGAGAATTGGAGGAGAGAAAATATGAAAATAATAAAATATGATTTAAGTTGGGTCCACTAGGTGAGAGAAATTAATTAAATATTATAAAAGCTTTCCAAATAAGGAAATGGAGCAAGTATTTAAAAACGACCAGAAGAGGAAAGTGGAGCAAGTATTTAAAAATGGAGGGAGTATTAGGATTTGAATTCCGGACTGTTTGGGAGACGTTGAATTAGAAATGATACTCTCATCACGCTTTTTTGAAAGAAACAAGTAGGAGTCGCCAATGAGTTTTAGGAAAATTGTTCATGCCTTTCTTCCGTTTGGAGTTCATGGAATAATTGGCACGAATCATAAGTTTACCCATGCCCTAATTGGTCTACATAAACCAAAAGTGAGTTCGGGAGCGAGGGTACTAAAATAACGTTCCTTTTAGGGAGGAATTGCTATTCTAGCCCTAGTACGGCCTCTACTAGCTATTCCTTTTTTTGCAATTTTATTACCAAACAATATATGCAACCCGATACCTAACACTAAGTTAGTTGATTTTATTTACACACGTTAATTCACGTAGGAATTACGTTGCAACGTCGTTATTCTTTATTTAATCAATTTGTGAAAAGAACAAGAAAATAAACAATATTCGCCTTGGCTTAAGTGATCAACCAACAATTAATTATCCAATTCTAATCTTTATTTAACGCAAGATACTATGTGGAAATAGTTAATTAGTCCTTTTAAGGTGATCAAACAACACTAATTAATTAAGATTCTTTTAAACAAAAAAATAAATATGATTTATCTAAGTGCTCGGGAATTTACCACTTCTCTTTGCTAGATCTCCGTTTAGAACACTTATGGACACTTTCTTGTTAGGGAAACTCCACCGTAGTAACAAAATATCAAGGGGGTGAGTGTTTAGGACAAGAGGGGTTAGGTAGCACAAGTTCACAAGTATTCCGCCAGAGTTTTAGGTATTTTTTTGTGTGTTTAAGCCTCAGATTAAGCCTCTATTTATAGGGAATGGGTAGGATTAGGGTTTTGGACATTCTACCGCAGTAGGTGTCGCGCGTAACAGGATTAGTTGCGCGCGGCATCCCAGCGCAAGTGATTGGGTTGTGCTGATATGGGCAGCGCAACTGAGTGTCTTGCGCACGGCATTATGGGAAGATTCGATTCTATATTTTCGGAAAATTCTGAATCTTCCGTGAGCGCATCTCTAGAGGTTGCTCTAATTGTCGCGCACAGCTGAATTAGTTGCGCGCGCCTGCCAGCGCGACTGATTGAGATGCGCACAGATTTTCCTGCGACATCATTAAAATTTAACCTAGGCACTCCTAAATCCGTCATTATTGGGTTTTAAGCACGGGCTTAAGCCTAATATTGATCGGATTTAGTTAATTGGACCTTGTGTAGCTTTATTTTTTTTAATTTAGGCTAGTTATTGTGTTTTATGGCTTAACTAGTTATCTGTAAGCATTCTCCACTTCAATCTAACACGAAAATGGTTTTATTTATCGTCATTGCACTTCCTATCGGGACAGGAGGCCAAAAGTAGATGCCTACATCATGTGAATTAATTTTGTTTATAATCATGTCTAACTTTGAGAACCAAATACATTGGGGTCTCAACTCGACGTACAATTATTGATTTTTTTACTTTGATGCTGCTCATCATTAATTATAGGAAATTTTGACAATTACCACATACTATTCTTTCCATTTTAGCAATTACCACCTGCTATTATTTTTTTTGAAAATTACCACCTACTCATTTATAAACCATCAAAAATTCTCACCTAGTTGCCTTCCAACTACATCATGACGTCATGTGGGCCCCACATTTTACCTTTCCTCTTCTTTTCCCTCCCTTTTCTCATTTCTCACTCGATTTTCATCTCTCATGTCTCATTTTTTGAGCGAAAAAATAAATTGGGGCTCAACTAGGTGGTTATTTTTTGAGCGAAAAAATAAATTGAGCGAAAAAATGAGTCAATGGAGATGAAAATCGAGTGTGAAATGAGAAAAAGGAGGGAAAAGAAGACGGATGGTAAAAAGTTGGGTACACATGACGTCATAAGGTAGTTGGGAGGCAATTAGGTGAGAATTTTTTATGTTTTATAAAAGAGTAGGTGGTAATTTTCAAAAAAAATAATAGCAGGTGATAATTGCTAAAATGGAAAGAATAGTAGGTGGTAACACTAGGGGTGTGCATTTTAATACCTGGACCGTGAAACCGACCGGGATCGACCGGAATCGGACCCGGACCGGACCAGACCGTAGGATTTAGGGTCGGTCCTCGGTCCTTAAAAATCAGTCATTCCGGGTTTCCGGTCCGGGTAAACCCGGTATATTCCGGGCTGGATCGAAAACCCGGGAAAAGTGTTTATTTTTATTATTTTTTTTAATTTCCTAAAAACCTTCACTTCTATCAGAGTCTCAGTCACGCCTCTTCACTCTCTTCTTTCCCGTTCTCACTCTCTGTCCTCCACTGCTCGACTCCTCCGCCCCCGTTCTCAACGACGGCACCGCTCTTATCTCCGCAGCGCCGCCCTCATCTCCGCAGCACCGCCCTCCTCTTCGACTTCCAGCCTCCAGGTATGTTCTAGTTCGAAAGTCAGCCTTTTCTTCGTTTTTTTTGTTTTTTTTTGTTTAATTAAATTCAATTTGTTAAAGTCAGCCTCCTCCTCCGATCACTGCAGCCGTCGACGCCTAACAGCCCTCACCGGAAAGCTATCCTGTTCTAGTTCAAAAGTCAGGTTTGTGTTTCTTTTTTTTTTTTTTTTTTTTTTTTTTTTTTTTTTCTGTTTTTGTTACTTGATAAATTGATAGGCAATTTTGGATGTAATTGTGTGTATTTAATTTGTTTTCATAGTATTACCATTCAATTGTTCAACAGCGGATTCATATTCATGCAATGTAAGTTGCTTGCATCAGTTGCATGTTCAATTCTTTTAAAAAAATGTTTTTGATTTTAATCTGTTTTTATTCATATGATTCTGCCATATTTTTGGGATTTATGGGTCTAAATTCAAGCTTTATTTTTCTGGAATTTCAATTTGTTATCTATTTCATTCTATTCTTAACATATAATTAAATATAATGTTGTAGATGGCAAGCTCCCAATCCAAAAGGGCACCTATATACTCGTCTGATCAAACAGCACATACACTTTCGGATGCTGCTAACAACACTGATATTGATTTATTGTGGCAATCCTTGCCTCCGGACAAGACACTTACGGAGGGACAGAAGTATTTGGTTAGAACAAAAACAAAGACATGCTGTAAAATATATCAAGAATTCTCCTGCTAGAATTGCTAGGTTCAAAGATCTTGCTCAAAAGGCTAATATACAAAGCAAATCTTCTTTATGCTTTGATGTCCCTACTCGATGGAATTCAACTTACATGATGTTGGAAACAGCTTTGAAATTTCAAAAAGTTATTGGTGGGGTGTCACTTCCCGATGGAGAAGGTGTGAAGGATAATGAAAAACCTCCTGACCATGATGATTGGGTCAAGGTGGGAAGGTTAGTTTTGTTTTTGGAGTAGTTTTATCATTTGACTCGTAATATCTCTGGTTGTATTTATGTGACAAGTAATAAAGATTTGTTTGACATTGCATATGTTGATGATTTGCTAAATGAATGGGAAAAAAGTGATGATTTGGATTTTCAAGCTATGGCCATTTCAATGAAGAAAAAATTTGATAAGTATTGGGGAAAAGTGGCCAATATGAATATGTTTATATATGTTGCTGCCATTCTTGATCATCAATCCAAATTTCGTATTTTTGAGGAAATACTTAGGGATATGTATGGAGAGGAAGAAGGGACAAGACTTGGTGTTAAAGTAAAGCAATTTACTTGCTCTTTATTTGAAGAGTATAAAAATTTGTATTCTTCCTTCATTCCTCAAAGTGGCCACAGTGAAGATCATGTGCCTATTGATGTAGATGTTGATGTGGAGGATAAGAGTAAGAATAAGACGTATTTTGCAAAAGTTAAGGGTAGAGCTAATAAAAAGATGAGAGCGGATAATTGCATTTGCAAATAGTGAGTTTGAAAGATACATCAATGAACAATTAGGGCCGAAGGAAGAACAAATGGATGCTTTATCTTGGTGGGCACAAAATTGACATCGTTATCCTATTGTTTCACGTATGGCACATGACATATTAGCCATTCCATTGTCTACCGTTGCATCGGAATCCGCCTTTAGTACGGGAGGTCGCCATCTCGATCCTTTTTGGAGTTTTTTGACACCTAAGGTAATGTTTTTTGCTTTAAGTTATTTTATTTTTACATATTTATAATCTCATATTCTATGTTGGCTTTGTTATTTAATTTTTATTTTTTTTTATATGAAAGATGGTTCAAGCTTTGATTTGCTCTCAAGATTGGCTTAAACCAAAGGGAATGAGGGAAGTTGATGTTGAAGAAAAAGTAAAAGATTTAGAGGAGATTGAGAAAGGTATTTCTTACACTATTACTTGCATTTTTAATTTTTTTGAAATTTTAAATATTTATTTTTTCATTTGATTAGAGGTGGAAGTTGATGATGGAGATCATGAGGTCATTTTTGTGGACTATTTTGCATGATTTAAGATTTGGAGGTAATGTTTCCAACTTTTATTTTCATTTAAAGTATCTTTAAAGTTCTAATCTCTAACGTTGATGATTTTTTTTTTGTTTTGTTTTTGCTAGAGCGGTGATGGAGAATTGATAGAAAAACGGAGAGGAGAAATTATCAAAGATTGAAGAACTTAGCTCTTTTTCATTGAACTTTTATTACTTTGGTGTTGTATTTAACTTAGGACTTGTTTTGGTTTGTATTCGGATAAATCGGATGTATTGAGTGTGTATGATGTTTGGCTTTTTTTTATTTTTTTTATTTTGTGATTTATATATTTTTGGGGAAAAAGTACACAGGTTTAAAAAATAGGAGGGAAGATTAGCAGTCTGCATGCTGTTAAAATGCAGGGAAAAAAAAAAGAAGGTAAAGTCGGTCCCAACCGGTCCAAAACCGGAATGGACCGTATTAAACAGGTCCAGACCGGGACCGGACCGGCAGATTACGGTCCGGTTTCCGGTCCTTCAAAATAGCTTATACCGGGTTTCGGTCCATTCCGGTCCCGATCCGGTCCGGTTTTGGACTGGTGCACAACCCTAGGTAACATTACACCAAAAACTAGAATAAGAAACGCTAAATACAAAACGGTTAACAAAAGACAGGCGTTCTCTGTAATAATATCGAACGTACTTGTGGTAGAGGCGTTCTATGAGTTGATGAATATAGAACAGTTTTTATAGTTGACCGTTCTCCGTTAATTTTTAGCAAAAATAATATATAATGAAACTACAATGGTAAACAATATACAATGGTGCACTGGACAACTGTTTTATGAATTTTTATTCCTATTTTTAATTAATTTTAATTTTTGGAGGGATTAGATCTTTGCCCTAAAAACTGCAACTGAAATTCTTCATATACGCCGATACTGCTAATTTGCTATACATCACTGACACATCTTTTAATTTCAATCTGAAATTTTTTTAATTTTTTTGTACTCCATAAATGAACTCCGGGTATCGTTCTTCTGGAATTTATCAAGCTACTGCAATATTGAGGTGTTACCTCCGCAAGCACCGCCGCGCCAACACTGCACCTCCGCAAGCACCACCGCGATTTTACCTCCGCAGCACCACCGTGTTACCTTCGCATTCCACACGCACCACCGCACAACCACTGCAATATTGAGGTAGGCTTACGAATTTTTCTTCTCCTTGAACTATAGAAATTTGATAAGAAAATTGTAGATCTATTTGAAGTATTTATTGAATCGAATTATTCAATTGGTTTATAATGATAATTTGGTCATAGTATTCATCAAATTGTAGTATTCCCTCTGTTTTAATATGATAGTCTCATATGGAATCAATCACATAAAATAAGAAAAGGTGAATATTTGAAATCTAGTATTAAAGTAAAAAACAATTTATAAATAGTTTGCCTTATTTAATTTTTTTGATTTTTTTTAAAGAAAGCATTAGTCATAATTGCATAAATCAAGGGAATAATTTCTTTACATAGAGTCATGTTATTAATTCACAATCAATTAATCTAACCACTCAGAATTTATCATGTATAAAATAGGAAATAAAAACTAAGTTAAAAGTGGAATACATTCAATATGGGTAGATCTTTTTGAAACGCCCAAAATAGTATATGGAATTAACAAATTGAAACGGAGGGAGTAATTTTATTCTGTTTTTAGGTGATAAAAAGTTCTAATTTTAGGAAAATAATTCAATCGGGCTTTTGTGAACAAAAAATTGCAGTAACTTCAATCAAATTACACTTAGTTTTTTTCATCATTCAATTTATTTCCGAATCAATCAAACTGATCTAAGCAAAATTGATCCAACCTAGGTCAAATTTACACCCCGTGATTGAATCATTTCTCGGATTTTCTGGGCTACAAATGGACGGCTAAATGAGTTCTCACAATCGAAATGAGTTCGTTCTTATCTATGTTGATTAAATTATGATATTGGTCGGTTCTTAATCTATTTTGAGCTTTGATTTGATTACAAATGGGTGTTCCTAGAATTCGAAATATAAATACTTCGTATATTTCGACACCTCTTAACATGAATAATACTTGTATATATTATGTTCACTTTTATATTATATTTGTTTTGTAGATTTACAACTATGGAAGAAAAGCCGAAGAGAAGAAATAAGAACAGTTGAAGGATGAATGGCTAATTTTTTGTATAATCAGTTGAAGGATGAATGGCCAATTTTTTTTGTATAATTTGTAATTCTTGTTACTCTGTAATTTTTTTTTAAAAAAATACTCGGTATGATTCTTAATGTTCATTATTTTCATGCTACATTGATTGTAAGTATTGGTTTGATTTTTAACATATTCAATTATTATTTTTAAATTTCAAATTCAAATTTTTTTTACTACAATTCTTGTAGATATACTGTATTTCGTTACAGTATTAATTTTTCCTAATTACTCGTATTATAGCAAGAGATTAAAATACTGTATTTTCTATATAAAATACCATATATCAGCATTTTTTTAATATAAAAGAAGGATTAGAGAACGGTTATCTAACTTAACCGTTTTCTTTAGTAATGTTTATAGAACGGTTAAGTAGACTAACCGTTCTTTATTACTTCTTTATTTTCTGATTTTAGTTAGGGAACAGAGAACGGTTGTGTCTGACGACCGTTCTCTATTGTTGTATTAATAGAACACCTACAAGAACCGTTCTATATACTTTATACATCGCTTAACAGAAGAACGGTCCTAAGGCGTTCTATAAATTAAAACCTATTTTAAACGTTCTTTAATGCCTTTTTTGTAGTAGTGTAATTGTCAAAATTCCTTCATTATAGTTTTGATGAATACTCTTTTTTTTTTAACTTAAACGAAGTAGTGGGAAAAAGAAAAAGAACTAACAAGACTCTAGCTTGCATGTGGTATACACATCATCCCATTGTATATAGATAAGTGGAATGAAAGAACTCATACTTTAGTCTGCAAAAATTGATAATGTACTCCCATGTAATTTTTCAACCCCTTACGTTAAGAATATTTGTTACATACATGTACTTTTGAAACGGAGGAATTTATAGCAAAATTTGGAATTTCACATTTACTAATAACTAGTTTTGTGCCCCGTGCAATGTCCGGGTTGTTTATTGAATTTTTAGATAAATTTTTAATGTATATATCAAATTTTTAATATATCATTAATACAAAATTAGTTAAAAATTGATGTGCTTTTGTGACGATTAGCTATTTAGTAGTCATGTAATGACTAATAATAATGTAGGTGAAAATGTTCGATTTAATACATTAAAAAAATAAAGTATAAGCAAAAAATAAATTAAATAAAATAAATGTTCAAAGCCCGTTGGGTTGACTCGAACCCAAAACTTTGGGCAAGGGTTGAACATTTTTTAACTCGTAACCTGAAGTGATTCAATCCGGAATGACTCATGATCCGATCCTAATTGAAAGGTCTACATAGTAATAAAATTCTATTAGATTGTGAAGTATATTATTTTAATCGATTAGTATATATTATAATGTATGTTTTACGCGTTGAACTACTTCCTTCGTTCCAATAAAATATTATGATATAAAAAATAAATTTTATATGATAATATTTTAAAATAATTATCTAATAATTTTTTTTGAATAAAATAATAAATCAATTTGTACATCTAAAACATGGTATTTTATCGAAAATAAAAATCTAAATTAATTAATAATTTTATCTTAAAATTTTATCCAAATAAAATTCTAAACTAACTTTTTAATCTTATGAAGATTATTTAAATCTATCTAACGCGGCGCAACACTTAGCAAAAAGTTAGAACGTCAAGTGTCACTGTCTCGTGACCTGGCTAAAAGTTTAGCTTTATATATTAGTTATATGATTTACAACTTATATTACAGCCTGGGTTACCTTTATGGTTTTAGAAGGTGTGGTTTTTATAAGAATACAGCCGAGCTTATCTTTTACTTCCTCGTCAACTTAGCTTGTATATATATGTTGTGGTTCTTATGCGATATAGTGACTTCTGACGACGACTTCTCATTATGTATATTAAAGTTGTCGATGGTCCAAGCAATTCTAGCTGTAATCTGCCGAACATCGATTAAATGTGTTTATAGTGTTTAAATTTTATGGCTTGGGTTCCTTTTATCATACAATGCACGAACGTCACATAAATCTTTGTTTCATATATTGGGCGTACGTATGTACTCTACTTAAAACGTACGAAATTTGAAAGACCAACTCTTTCTAATACTATAGTTCCGGAGTCAAGCCAACAAAGAGAAGACTTATTATTGGTCGATCCGACCATTTAATAGCTTTTAATTACTTAGGTTACTCGTACTTCATTTAATTTTCATCAAGAGAGCAAGATGGGAAGTATAATAAACAAACAAATAAATATTAGGAGTAGAATGAATTGACATTCTAAAAGGGAAAATTCAATGAGAAAAATGAAAGATGTCAAATAATTGTTGGTTTTATATGAAAAATTGATGTATTTCCACTTTAATTGTTTTTCTAGGCCGTGCATTATTGTAGGCTTCTAGCAATGTCATATCCTTCCAATTTATGACTTTTTTCACAAAATAATTTTCAAATTCTCAATTAGTACTCTTTTTTATTCTAATGTAAAATATACTATAACACCCAAAAAGTAATAAAAGGAGACAATGCAATGAAAAAGGGAGAGTATAGTGTTCATAAAATTATTTATGTTACATACAAAGTATTTATTTTAAAATGAAAATAACATAAATCCAAAGTTTCAATCGCATGAATATATATACTATAAGAGAAAAAAGAAGGATTTTTTGACTTTTACCACCAAAAAAAATCGCAAAATTGTTTTTGACTACCAAAAATTTTAAAAGTTTTATCTTACCACCCAAAAAAAAAATTAAAAATAGTTTGTTACCACCTACCGTCAAAAATCTAATGGAATATTTTAAATTCTTCGATTTTTGTGCTAACCACATCATATTTAGGGGTTTTGGGGGGCATTTTGGTTCTATGAGGCCAATTTGAGGTCGGAATTGACAAAAAATGATCGAAAATGTTTCTTTTTGTACGTTTAAGACACAATAGCCAGACGTCAAACGTCTCGTACCAGGGCACCCACCCTAATCTACATTAGTATATGCGACCAGAGAAGAAAATGAAGATGGATATAGATGTAGACCAAAATCAAGAGTACCCTATATATACCGAATAATCCGTTTAAGAGAAGACATATGATCAACTCTCGGGTCATGCATATGAAGACAAACCTGTTGAATGGCATAAGAAATATCCAGCCT